TTCTCAGTTTAGGGTTTTCTTCTCTGGGAGATGCATTATCTTTGTAAAACAAAACATTGCTTTCTCCAATTTTTTTTCTGTTAATGGCAAAGAATGGAAATAGAATAAAGTTTTACTGATTTTGAAAAAAGCCTCGCCGTGCTCAGCCTCTTCTTTCCTCAGTGAGGGCTGTGTTAGAGCTGTGCTGTCCCCATCACAGGCTCGTTCCTGATGCAGCTCCAATTCTCACACCACTCTGAGGTCAGATATTTTATTCCAGTTCGCACAAAGCAGAGAGTGGGATGGCTTCCACCAAAGGTTCCCAGTCATCAAACTTTACACTGTTTATACATTTTAATAAACAAAGACAAAGCAACATTCCTTGGTTACAAATTACATGACTTTAATTAGTGTCTAACATCCTATTTACCAGTTTTCTGTCTGCTCGTGCTCGTTAGTCCTGAACCGCAGCTCTTTTTTTGAGGCTGGGCTGTGTTTGGAGGTGTCTGTGAGCCCCAGTGCTGGAACAGCCTTTGCCGCAGTTACTGCTCACTCCTGCTGGCTCAGCCCCTTCCTCTTGGCATTGTCTCTTATCCTTAAAAGCTCAGCCAAGTGCACGCTGCTCACACTGCAGGTACTTACTCGGAACTGCCCAGCTGCAGCTGATGAACAATTTCTTTTTGAAACGATTCTTTTTGAAACGACACCGTTTGCTTTAAACCCCTTTTCAAATCTCTAGGGGATCACTGTCATTCCCTCTTAAAATACCACAGGATCGTGTGTCGGTGTCGTTCCCCCTTTAAAGCTCTGGGATATTCGAGTTTTRGAGYCATCCCCCCTCTAAAGCCCCGTGGYTCGGGTGTGGTTTGGTTCCCCCTTAAAACCCCGGGATGTGAGGTCGGTGCCRTTTGTCCCTTTCAGGCCCCGGGGGCTGAGTCCGTGTCGTTCCCCCTTTATACTCTGGGATGCGGCTCTTGGTGTCACTCCCCGTGTAGGGCCCCGGGGTGCGGGGGTCGTTTAAACCCGAATTGGTGTCATCCCCCCTTTGGAGCCCCACGGTTCGGAGTTGGGGTCGTTCCCCGTTCGAAGCCGCGAGGCCGTGGCCGTGCCCCGTTTTCGGCCCGTGGTTCGGGCTCCGTGCCGTTCCCGGTGCCGATATCCCCGTCCCCCGTTGTCCCCGCTGTATCTCCCCGTGTCCCCTTGTCCCCGCCGTGTCTCCCCCTGTCCCCGCCGTGTCGCGTCTGTGTCCCCCCTTGTCCCCGCTGTGTCCCGCTGTATCTCCCCCCTGTCCCCGCCGTGTCCCCC